CTAAAACAGAACAGAAAGAATAGAAGTCCATTCATCAGCTTGCTTCTGTCTTTTAAGAACACCTTTGCTTTAACTCTGGCAGGGATTCAGTGCAATACAGCAGCATGTAAAAAATATATATAACTTCACTTTAGAAGATTTCCCTCAAAGTGCTCAGAAATTGTAACTTGTTAACATGCTTATCTTACTAGCCAGTTTAAGACTGGATCTACCAGAAGGCTGTGAACAAGTAAATGTGAATGAAAACTTGTGTTACAAGACAATTGTTTCTCTAACTTCTTAGAGTAACTAGGAACCTGGTTAAAGTTCACAGGCTAGAAGACTTTTTTTTTCTTCATCATAGGGGATTCAGCTACCCTTGCAGCTGGCCATAAATGAAGACCAGGCTTTGCCACTCTGTGCTTTCACAAGGTATTGTTAGGTCAGCAAAGCCATCAATTAGGCTGTCTGAAGTTTTATCACCAGCACAGCAGCAATAAGTGCTGGCCCAGAAAGACTTCTGCTCTTCTGCAACTCCTGCAGTTTAAGCCTGTAAAGTCAGGGGTCATTTAGAGGTCAGTGCCAGCTGGGGGCGACCTTTTCAGCCAAGAGTGGGACACCCAAGGCAGAGCATTAAGCAACTGCTGACCATAAACTGAGGCACCTTTCAACTCAGTAGAAAGAGGGAGTCATAGGTACATGTGTTTAATATTAGGCCCAAAAGAACTTTTCCTCAAATCAGGTACCATAGCTGGAGTAGTGGCCGAAGCGTTTGAGCATTAGGTAAAGCCAGTTGTTTGGCTAGTAAGCCTGAATTTAATTTGGTTGGTAACCCACAAAAAAAGTTTGCATATTTTCTGTTAGTTTAATGCACAACAATCCACATCAGCTCAAACCCAGTAAACCCCCCCGCCATATTATTTATACAATTTATTCAAAACAAGGCAATTTTCTATGGCTCACAAACCACACTTGTTTTTATTTTTATCCCTGTTCTTTGTGTTTTAAGAACACTTTCAAGCTTATGTTCAGGTTTTGTCTGGTATTTCACAGTTCAGACTTCAGTCTAGTGACCCTTAAGGAGTGCTAATGAAGTTGAATACTAGTGTTTAATCCTCTTCAGAAATACTAACATGCTCATCATCCAAAACAGCCTCCTTAGCTGCCATTGGGCCTGATCCAAAGTCCACTGAAGTTAATGGGAGTTTTTCAGTCAATAATGGAAAATTCAATTAATCAGCTCACTTCGTAGAATTCTAACACTTACACAGCTGGGCATCCGACATATACTATACTAGCCACTGTGTTGCTCCCCTCAGGTTAAAGTCCATCAAAGATAACAAAAGACAGTACACCTTTGTTTAGATCTCCTGTAATCACACTGGTGGGAATTCCATTAGACAGATGCATAAATGCTACAAATAACACCAAAGGGCTTTTTTGCATCTCTATGTTTACATCCAAAACAAAGGCATTCTTTATTCTTCAAGGAAAGTGTAGCTCAGTTGTCAAAAATGTCATCCTGCCTCTGAATTAGTCAAGAGGAGACTTCAAGTATTAAAAATAAAAACAAAGAATTGATTCTGTTGCTCATTTCTTCAGCTAGTAGTGATTTCAGCTTGGTGGAGGTATTTCCTACTCTAACACTGTGACTTCTAGACACAGTTTCCGTCCCCAAAGACAAAGGTCTCTGATAGGACTTAATTTGCTTAGCTGCTTTCCAGCAATGTTAGCACGTTGACCAAATGGGGGCTGACCTGAACCTTCTGTATCCAGCATGCCTTTTATCAGCTAAAGTTAAGGCCAATAGAGATTAAGAGAAAAGCCTGATAAGACTGTTTTCTCTTCTCCTATGAGCTTCTAATGATGTATACAGATGGCAAGGTTTTAAAGAATGCAGTGAGTGCTTATTTGGACGGCCTGTAAAAAATCATAGACAAGAGACCCTCCCCCACTTTTTGTCTTCCGAGCCCCTATTTTCTTCAATCCAGCCACTCTTTAGGGCAACTAAATTGCTTTTTCAGTTTTTATTTAAACCCCAACCACTTTTATTATTTACATCTGGTGGTCCCCTTATTTATGTCCCTTTCCACTTCCCTCCCAACACTCCCTTACTCACAGGGCTGCAAGGCATTATGGTTCTTCAGTCTCAGCAGGAGAACTCCACACTGCCTTCAAACAAATAATTAAGGGGAAGGTTAAAGGTTCACCTAGAGGTCATAGCTTTGGATACTGGTCAGAATGTTTACATTAGTAAAAAAATGGGCGTCCTCTGAAGTGGTTTTTCAATGGGGTTTACACAACAATGCAGGGCATTGAGAACATTTTAAGTCCGGAAAGTAAAGTGACTCAACTGGCTCACATGTATGAGCATACAAAATTTGGTTTGACAGTGTTACGTATTCAACCAGGATACTGGCTTTATGGGATGAATTCTGAAAACCCAGCCTCTGTTTCTGCATGCACTTGTCAGCCGTTCACTTCCAAAGGAAGACATTTTGCCCTAGGTTTATTAAACCCACAGGAGTAATTCTAGCTCTTCTGTATGAACTACTCGATGATTCAGGAGGTATTTTTTGATGAGGAAGCTGAAGCCCTGAAAGTGAGCCCCCAAAGCTGTACTGCCTTACAGAAAAAAATCCACTAGGGAGACTTGTACTAAATTATAAAGCCACATATTTCCAGTAAATGCTGAAAGACCACCACAGATATAATTGCTAATGAACATAGCACTTGAATTTGAACCCTACTTTCTAGGCGCTCCTTTTTGTTCCTCCAATTTTGCACATACAAAAAATTGCAAGAGCAATTGATGTCACTTAGACATGCAAGTACCTTGCTGTAGGGGGCAGGGGTACAGTCAAGTACCTGGACATCTAGGTTTTCAAAGGAGCATAGGAGAGTTAGGCACCCAAATCCCATTGAAATTTAATTCCCTTTGAAAATCCCAGCCTAAAATTGCATCACTTATGCCCTCAAGTAACTATATCTGCAAAACGTCATCTGAAATTATTTGTATCAATAAAACTGCAGATGCAAAAGCAGATGTAGAGTTCCGTTCAGGTTGAAAATCAGGTCCAATATTCATTAGCAATGACTATATCACATAAACTGCCAGCACAACTGGCAGAAATGCACAGAATAGTGTTTGTGTCTTATAATTTTCATGCACCATCAATGTGAATGATGCATAATAGACAAATGGAAGCCATAGTCCCTGCCCTAGAGTCTAGACTTTACATTTTCAGAAGGCTTTTCTTTTAAATGCCTGAGGGTGTTATTTTTGGGACCAAAATAAAGCAAGATCTAGTCCTCGCAAAATATTTCAGTTCATGTATTACAGAAACACTGTAATGTTACTTTGGCAGAAATGTTTTTAAGGGATATTACAAGACTAGTGAAAAAATTAAACAAAAGTACAAATAACACTATTTTCAGCATTATTTGGGCCCCTATGAAACAAGAATTCACAGCTCTGTTCCTTAGCATTAATTGCCAACCTTGATGGTTGCTTTCACCCAGCCAGCAAAGACTGAAAGGGAAAAGGTGAACGAATCCATCTCCAATGGAGAGAACTGCTCTATTATTAATCATAATAATTATTTGTATTCTAGGAGCACATAGCAGTTCCAACCAAGATCAGGGCCCTGTTTCACTATGTCCTGTACAAACACATAACGAGAGACATTTCCTGTCCCAGTCTGAGTAGCCAGGATAAACAAAAGGTAGGATAAAGGTAGCATTATTGTTGTTCCCAGTTATAGAAAAGAACTGATACGGAGGGAGATTAAGTGACTTGCCCAAGGCCATACAGGGAATCTGTGTCAAAGCCAGAACGTGAACCTAGATTTCTCCACTCCCCATCCTGTGATCTGTCCAGTCCACCATCCACATAACCATCTTTCCTCTCTCCATCCATATTAACATTCAGGCACATTGGCAGCGGTGTAGGAGTGAAACTCACATTGCTGCTATATGTGCCATACCTGTTCTGGGTATAAAGAGGGGACTTCAGCCTCCAGGCTGTCAATTTGATACCTTTCACAAGCTCTGCATTCATACACATGCAGAATTTGGCCCTTACCCTGGAATGATAAACGAGGCATGTATTGTTAAGGAGAATACATGTAATTGGTGTACTATGTATAATGCAACTCTCACTCCCAACATCTTGCAGATTTCAGATTACCACCCCTACTAATTCAAACAGTAGGCATTGGCTATGAAAGGAGGTATTTCTGTTAACATTGTTACATAAAGCAGTCACATAAATGACACAGGGTCAAAATCTATTCGCCTTTCTCACTCAAGTGGTTCCACTTATTTCATTGGAGCTTTTTGTGTGAGCAAGTCAAACAGGATATAGATCAACATGTAAGATGACGTGGACATTTAAAAGAAATCTCATTACTTGATAGTGTTTTATCTGTGCTCAGCCAAAAAAGAGCAGTAGCGGTAAACTAGTGAATTCTACAGTTTGCAGAATATCCTAAGTGTAGTTAGGCATTTTGCTTAGGCAGACCAGCTGACCTAAGCTTCTTCTCACCTCTAATTAGCACCATTCTAATATTTGTAAAAATTGCAGCTATTCAAATGACATCACTGTTTTTTAAACACAAACCTGTGTTCTATATTTTGTAAGAAGTCAAACACAATATTTAATTGCATCAATACATGTAGTTACGATATTCTATCTGAAGTCACTTCAGAATGATTTTAAAGTCACATTTACCTAATACATTTTAATTTTATGATAAACCATTGTTTATTCTGCTAAAATTTCAGAGAAATACTAATGCAAACTGCAAAAGAAAATATTCAGAAGATACAGATCTCTTGGTCTGCATGCTCAAGCATGACACATTAAAATACAATTTTTGAGGTTTGCCACTGGTTTCATTGTACAAAATTTCATTTTTTAAGATATGGCTCATTCCATTTGTGAGTCAGTCGGGGATTAGTATCTGCAAGTGTACTAGATCCTGCACTGACCTATACTGGGCAGGTTGCTTCAACCCCAC